CTCAAACCCCTAAGAGCTAGATATTAGAATATTTACATCCCTGAACATGTACATATATAAATACACAGGACTTAATTCCTTCCATCTAGCTCCAAAGTGAAGTAGGAGGGAACAGGAGGAAAGAAGGAGGACCTACAGTTGAAGTCGGAAGTTTACATACATCTTAAGCAATAACATTTAAACTCAGTTTTTCACATTTACATTTACGTCATTTAGCAGACGCTCTTATCCAGAGCGACAATTCCTGACATTTAATCCTAGTAAAAAATCCCAGTCTTAGTTCAGTTAGGATCATCACTTTATTTTAAGAATGTGAAATGTCAGAATAATAGTAGAGAGAATGATTTATTTCAGCTTTTATTTCGTTTATCACATTCCCAGTGGGTCAGAAGTTTACATACACTCAATTAGTATTTGGTAGCATTGCCTTTAAATTGTTTAACTTGGGTCAAAAGTTTTGGGTAGCCTTCCACAAGCTTCCCACAATAAGTTGGGTGATTTTTGGCCCATTCCTCCTGACAGAGCTGGTATAACTGAGTCAGGTTTGTAGGCCTCCTTGCTCGCACATGCTTTTTCAGTTCTGGCCACAAATGTTCTATAGGATTGAGGTCAGGGCTTTGTGATGGCCACTCCAATACCTTGACTTTGTTGTCCTTAAGCCATTTTGCCACAACTTTGGAAGTATGCTTGGGGTCATTGTCCACTTGGAAGACCCATTTGCGACCAAGCTTTAACTTCCTGACTGATATATGCCATTTAGCAGACTCTTTTATCCAAAGCGACTTACAGTCATGTGCGCATACATTTTTACGTATGGGTGGTCCCGGGGATCGAACCCACTACCCTGGCGTTACAAGCGCCATGCTCTACCAATTGAGCTACAGAGGACCACTGATGTATTGAGATGTTGCTTCAATGTATCCACATAATTTTCCTTCCTCATGATGCCATCTATTTTGTGAAGTGCACCAGTCCCTCCTGCAGTAAAGCACCCCCACAGCATGATGCTGCCACCCCTGTGCTTCACGGTTGGGATGGTGTTCTTCGGCTTGCAAGCCTTCCCCTTTTTCCTCCAAACATAACGATGGTCATTATGGCCAAACAGTTCTATTTTTGTTTCATCAGACCAGAGGACATTTCTCCAAAAAGTACGAACTTTGTCCCCATGTGCAGTTGCAAACCATAGTCAGGCTTTTTAATGGTGGTTTTGGAGCAGTGGCTTCTCCTTGCTGAGCGGCCTTTCAGGTTATGTCGATATTGGACTCGTTTTACTGTGGATATAGATACTTTTGTACCTGTTTCCTCCAGCATCTTCACAAGGTCATTTGCTGTTGTTCTGGGATTGATTTGCACTTTTCGCACCAAAGTACGTTCATCTCTAGGAGACAGAACGCGTCTCCTTCGTGAGCGGTATGACGGCTGCGTGGTCCCATGGGGTTTATACTTGCGTACTATTGTTTGTACAGATGAACGTTGTACCTTCAGGCGTTTGGAAATTGCTCCCAAGGATGAACCAGACTTGTGGAGGTCTGCATATTTTTTTCTGAGGTCTTGGCTGATTTTTTTTAATTTTCCCATGATGTCAAGCAAAGAGGCACTGAGTTTGAAGGTAGGCCTTAAAATGCATCCACAGGTACACCTCCAATTGGCTCAAATGATGTAAATTAGCCTATCAGAAGCTTCTAAAGCCATGACATCATTTTCTGGAATTTTCCAAGCTGTTTAAAGGCACAGTCAACTTAGTGTATGTAAACTTCTGACCCACTGGAATTGTGATACAGTGAATTATCAGTGAAATAATCTGTCTGTAAACAATTGTTGGAAAAATTACTTGTGTCATGCACAAAGTAGATGTCCTAACCGACTTGCCAAAACTATAGTTTGTTAACAAGAAATTTGTGGAGTGGTTGAAAAACAAGTTTTAATGACTCCAACCTAAGTGTATGTAAACTTCCGACTTCAACTGTATACTTTGGCACTGATTTACCTAATGATGAAGATGAAGCCTAAGCTACTCACCGGTGATGGCCAATGCGCTTGTGCCAATAGTCTATCTCAAGATAAGCTACTTTGAAAAACAGTGCTGTTCGGTCAAATTTTGATGTTGTTGAGAAACATTTTCTTTGCTTCTACTACAGACAGATTAGTCTTCTCTTTTCAGCAGGAGGCATTTGCTTTTCAAACTGTATGTTTTTCCCAGAACTGTATTTTGAAATTTGCAAACTGACAGCCGCAACAAACCATATAAATACACTGCTAAAAAAAATTAAGGGAACACTTAAACAACACAATGTAACTCCAAGTCAATCACACTTCTGTGAAATCAAACTGTCCACTTAGGAAGCAACACTGATTGACAATACATTTCACATGCTGTTGTGCAAATGGAATAGACAACAGGTGGAAATTATAGGCAATTAGCAAGACACCCCCAATAAAGGACTGGTTTTGCAGGTGGTGACCACAGACCACTTCTCAGTTCCTATGCTTCCTGGCTGATGTTTTGGTCAATTTTGAATGCTGGTGGTGCTTTTACTCTAGTGGTAGCATGAGACGGAGTCTACAACCCACACAAGTGGCTCAGGTAGTGCAGCTCATCCAGGATGGCACATCAATGCGAGCTGTGGCAAGAAGGTTTGCTGTGTCTGTCAGCGTAGTGTCCAGAGCATGGAGTCGCTACCAGGAGACAGGCCAGTACATCAGGAGACGTGGAGGAGGGCATCAACCCAGCAGCAGGACTGCTACCTCCACCTTTTTGCAAGGAGGAGCAGGAGGAGTACTGCCAGAGCCCTGCAAAAAGACCTCCAGCAGGCCACAAATGTGCATGTGTCTGCTCAAACGGTCAGAAATAGACTCCATGAGGGTGGTATGAGGGCCCGACGTCCACAGGTGGGGGTTGCGCTTACAGCACAACACCGTGCAGGACTTTTGGCATTTGCCAGAGAACACCAAGATTGGCAAATTCGCCATTGGCGCCCTGTGCTCTTCACAGATGAAAGCAGGTTCACACTGAGCACGTGACAGACGTGTCAGAGTCTGGAGACGCCGTGGAGAACGTTCTGCTGCCTGCAACATCCTCCAGCATGACCGGTTTGGCGGTGGGTCAGTCATGGTGTGGGGTGCCATTTCTTTGGGGGGCCGCACAGCCCTCCATGTGCTCGCCAGAGGTAGCCTGACTGCCATTAGGTACAGAGATGAGATCCTCAGACCCCTTGTGAGACTATATGCTGGTGCGGTTGGCCCTGGGTTCCTCCTAATGCAAGACAATGCTAGACCTCATGTGGCTGGAGTGTGTCAGCAGTTCCTGCAAGAGGAAGGCATTGATGCTATGGACTGGCCCGCCCGTTCCCCATACCTGAATCCAATTGAGCACATCTGGGACATCATGTCTCGCTCCATCCACCAACGCCACGTTGCACCACAGACTGTCCAGGAGTTGGCGGATGCTTTAGTCCAGGTCTGGGAGGAGATCCCTCAGGAGACCATCCGCCACCTCATCAGGAGCATGGCCAGGCGTTGTAGGGAGGCCATACAGGCACGTGGAGGCCACACACACTACTGAGCCTCATTTTGACTTGTTTTAAGGACATTACATCAACGTTGGATCAGCCTGTAGTGTGGTTTTCCACTTTAATTTTGAGGGTGACTCCAAATCCAGACCTCCATGGGTTGATACATTTGATTTCCATTGATAATTTTTATGTGATTTTGTTGTCAGCACATTCAACTATGTAAAGAAAAAAGTATTTAATAAGATTATTTCATTCATTCAGATCTAGGATGTTTTATTTTAGTGTTCCCTTAATTTTTTTGAGCAGTGTATAATCCATAGATTGCAGTTCCCATTCAAGTCAGGACTGGCAGCCATTGCCCATGAGTTTAATTGCCATGGTTAGAGGTTCCAAAACCCTTCTATGGATTATATGTCTATGGTCACAATGCAACAAGCTGTTCTATATTTGGCGTATGCTGCACGAATTGTAGCCTTCCTGACTGTTTGCTTGTGATAAAACTTTATCCACAGCAATTCTTTATCAGCTATTGATCCTCTGTGGCTAAATTGTGTTTTCTGGTGTAGTATTTAGAATGCTTTTATTTATGTCTGTTCAGACAGGAGTAATATCATTTTGGGCATTTTTTTTATATATCATTTTTGCAAAATTATTTCAATTTATCAGAGGGTGTTGCAGCACCTCCAGCTCCCCTACTTCCCACAGCCATGCCAACATAGTGGTGCCTCTTCTATAGTTAAATGGAATAAATCATCTGCAGATGCTCAGCACATCCATGTTTGAGTGTGACATCAGTCAAGTTGAAGAGCAGGCCCATCTCATCTTCCTGCAAAAAAAACAATGTTGTTCAGTTCTGTGTCATAATCAATGTAATTACCATAGAGATACATTCTATTTCATTCCTATTCCATAAAAGGAACAGCCTGTAACCTGGTGATGTCATAAGTGGTCTACAAAACTATTTCAGCTATGCAGTTATGGGTCCTTAGTTACTCTTTTTAAAGGTAAGACAAAAATCTCCCAAAATCAACAGGATGCTACATTAGTTGAAATTACCAATGAGCTGTTGGAAATCTTAGATTGCGGTTTCAAAGAAGATACAATTATCAATTGATAATACAGATGTTTGTCCATATAAAGTAACAATTGTTTCTTCACAATGAAAAACATAATTATAGTTAGAATCAATGCAATCTGATTTCCTAGTTTAGCAGCATAAGTGAAAATGGTATTTATGTGAAAGTGGTATTTATTGAGCACCTAGTCCTGTTTGAAGGCATCTCTGTCAGGAACTTACTGTATATATGAGGTTGGGGGTTGGGCAAGGGGAGAAAAAAATAAAAATCACCAGATCTGTCATTGTGATGGGTTTTCTGGATGGGTTTTCTGCTTTAAAGGGAAATTTTACCATCTAATGCTGCCCTCAAATCAATCATGCTCACTCCACTCTGTCTCTTTGCCTGTACTCTGTCCCCCCGCCCCCCTTAGCTAGATAAGAGCGAGGTGACAACGTTTGGCCTGCCCCCTTCAGCCATCCACGGCGCATCTGATGCTTCTGCCTCTAACATCAGCGTGGATGGGGTAGGGGCTATGGCCGGGGTGGGAGCTCTGGCTGGGGGGGCTGAAGGGTCAGTGGTAGCCGAGGCCCAGCGGAAACGGGCTGCTCTGGAGCAGCTACAGCAGAAGATCCTGAAGAGCATTGAGCAGATTCGGATAGAACAGGAGGCACGAAACGACAACGTGGCAGAGTACCTGAAGCTGGCCCACAATGCCAACAGGCATCAGGCTTTTCGTATCAAACAGGTGTTTGAGAAGAAGAACCAGAAGTCTGCACATACCATCGCCCACCTGCACAAGAAGCTAGATCACTACCACAAGAAGATTAAGGAGATACAGCAGGTGTGTGTGTGTGTATGAGGAGAGAGCGAGAGCAAAATATTGTCCTCCATGTCTCATTGGTCTTCTTTTTTTTTCTTTTTTCTTTGAAAGTAAAATAATTGTACAATTCAGAAGGACTGTTTTGATATAAATGCACCAAATTTGGTACTGAGGTAGAAAAATGTTCACTGAAATAATTTCAGTTGCTTTGGCAACAATCTTACAAAATGGCCACCAAAGGTAACGCTATTGTACAAACCAAGGACTATGGTGGAAGTTGAGTGTAGTTGTCATCTGGAGGTGTAAATCTGTTGGACTATCAGAAACTGTTTTGATTTGACAAATGAATTGGCTTGCTAAGCTCATGAGCAGAGAGTGGGAGTGTGTATGGGAAGCAAGAACTCATTGGTCTTCTTTTGCGTTAACACCTTTTCCCCATCCACATAACCTCCCTCTCCTTATAGCATGGTCTGGGCCGGCAGCCTAAGGATGTGCTGGGGGACATGCAACAGGGGCTGAAGGATGTAGGGGCCAACGTACGAGCAGGGATCAGTGGCTTTGGTGGAGGTGTGGTGGAGGGTGTCAAAGGAGGCGTGTCAGAACTCACCCATACAGCTGTGGTGTCTAAGCCCCTGGAGTTTGTCAGCTTGATCCGCAACAAATTCAGCAGCACACACTCACTGGAGGATGGTGTGGAGGGGCATTCAGATGATGCACCCCTGAGTAGCAGTGTCACCTTGGCCTCTAGCTCAAAGTACAGCAGTGACGACGAGTGCTCCAGTGACTCTGTGACAGGCAGTCATTATTTTGGGGCTGGGGGAGGAGGGGGGATGTTGGGGCTCGGGCCGGCCAGGCTGGATTGGAACCACCACCACCACCACAGCTCCTGGGACACCCTGCTGGTGGACCTGCAGGAGATCAAAGCCAGCCAGGCCCACATGGAGGACGCCATCGAGGACATGAAGAGTCAGCTGCAGAGCAGCTACTCCTACATGACCCAGTGCCTACAGGAAGAGAAATACAGGTATGAGTTACTGGAGGAGCAGCTGAATGACCTAACAGAGCTGCACCAGAACCAGATGTCCAACCTGATACAGGAGCTGGCCAGCATGGAAGAGAAAGTGACCTACCAGTCCTATGAGAGAACCAGAGACTCTCAGGTAAAGAGGCAAAAACCTGGATGTATAATATGTATTGAAACACAAGTATGAGTGCAAAAAGGAGCCTATAGTACCCCTAAAGCTGTTATAACTTTATGTTTGCCTGTGTTTGTATTTGTACATACATATTATGTTATATGTGTGTGTCTGTACAGGAGGCAGTGGAGTCATGCATGAACCGCATCACTAAGTTAGAGATGCAACAGCAGCAGCAGCAGATGCTGCAGTTGGAGGGTGTGGAGAACGCCAACGCCCACGCCCTGCTGGGAAAACTCATCAACATCATCCTGGCTGTCATGGCTGTAGTGCTAGTGTTCGTCTCCACCCCCGCCAACTTTATCACCCCGCTCATAAAGACCCGAGCACGGGTGGCGGCCACTGTCATGCTGGCCCTTTTTCTCTTCATCCTCTGGAAGTACTCAGACTTCCTGGAACTTTGGCTACTGCCAGGCTGACATTGTTTTGACTTGACCTACCACCTACCCTGAAAAAAATGAAGGTTCTTAAATGGTTCTTGTGGTCCTCTGTAGCTCAGCTGGTAGAGCACGGCGCTTGTAACGCCAAGGTAGTGGGTTCGATCCCCGGGACCACCCATACACAAAAAATGTATGCACGCACGACTGTAAGTCGCTTTGGATAAAAGCGTCTGCTAAATGGCATATTATTATTTATTATTATTATTCTTCCTCAGCTCTTAAGGTTCCTTAGAGAACTCTTGTCCGTTAAATTACCTTTGAGTTAAGTGTGGGATTCTTGACGTGGCATCTACAGTTCTTCAGAATTCTAAAAGGTTATTGAAATGTATGGAAGCCTGCAGATGTCCCTTTCATAGCACGCAGCAAATTGGCCAGTGTTTTTCAGTGTAAAATGTATAGTGTTGATTCATGAGTTAAATTAACACTGTAAAGAGTTCAATTAACACTCAGTGGTGTAAAATAACCCCAGTGTTGGTGTTAATAACCAGAGTTGAACCAAAACCACACCCCAGTTTTAATATCTATGTTTTTGCATTAATTAATTAATCTTACGCTACTCAAATATAAATAGCATACAGTTTTCTAAACTATTCCAATCTGTTACTTGGATTTATTGTACCCGTTAGTGAAATGGTTGTTCCAGTTTAGATGTTTAAGGTAGTCTCATATTTTAGTATTCCCAACCCCAGCAGTCATTCTGAATGCAGGTTGCTTGTGAATAAAAAGTACAAATGTTGGATATCCCCACTGGCTGGATTCCAATAGGAATTACACATCACTTTGCAAGCCAGCATAATATCACTTGCAGCAGGCCTGATGTGGCCTGTAAACTATGATGCCACTATTAGGGTATAACTAGGCCCTCAAAAGAAGGCCTTATGAAATATGTATTGTAGTGAAACAAATACTTTTAATGACAACTGTCATGGAGCGCATGTCCGTCACTTATAGACAATGACACAAACAAATTATTGCTTTGAGAAAGACTCTGTTGTATCTCATCAAGGTATAGCCAAGAATCCTAAAAGAGAATATGTTGGTTAGAGTTGCAAATTCCGTTTGCCAACAATACTTTGACATAAGGCGCCGAAGTCGAGTGTTTGTTGTGCACGCCAGTAACTAAAACAATGTAACTTGTTAACCATATTTCTACCGTGTATACAGATGCCCCTTTAAACGTACATGCTCTAGCAATGTGAAATATATTATTTGAATAACGATCGAAGTGTTGGTATACAATAATCATACAACTTAACCTACCTGATGTGTTTGTTTGAAGCTCCGCTCTGTTCCCTTGTTGAAATGTAGGTTTGCATTACGCAAGACCTACATTAGTCTGCGAGTCATCGAGGAACATTTATTGGTTGATGGGAATAACCAAAGTGATGAATTATCCCGGGGGTGAATTACTTCATGAATGTGTATTGTGTGACTTAAAGAAGAAGATATGGCACAAGTTAGTGAAGTGTGGGTTTATGTAAAACTATTGTTTATGATGTTATACGTCCATGGGAAATGATGCATTTATGGTAGAAATGTGTTTTGAGGCTATCATGGTGGAACATTCCTAGTGGAAGAGAGTTCATGGAAAGAGTACTTAAGTGCTCAGTTGGCCTTTGCCTGGGAGGAAAGCAGACTGGGCAGGTAACAGGTTGGCTAGAGTAGAGCCATACCTGAGTTTTGTTTTAGGCAAGGAGTTGTTGCCAGAATAGTTTATGCTGAGAACAGTATTTTCTGTACAAAGTTTATTGGCCTTTTCATCCTGCACCTATTAATATAGTAAATAAAAGCATCTAAGAGAGGTGAGCAACAGAACATCATGTCTGCCTCCTCACTGTCCGATCCACCACATCAGCTTCTGCTTCACAACAACATATTCACTTAGAATCTCACTTGGTGAAGGCTATAGGCCTAAACATTTATAAATGCTACAACCATGTCTCTGTCACTAGCAAGCACAGTCATGGGTGATACTGGTAACTCGAAAAGTCACTCGAAAAGTAACCCTGAGAAATGTATAAATAAGGCTCAAAACCCTAAAGCAAGGCTATTCAATTCCGGTCCGGGAGGGCCAAAACATTTCTTTTTTGGGGAATTTTTCATTTCATTTTTCATTCCATTTCTTGTTCTTCAGAGACCCTGAAAAATGGTTCCCCTATGCCACAGGTGTCAAATTAATTCCACGGAGGGCCGAGTGTCTACGGCTTTTCGTTCCTCCCTTGTACTTGATTTATGAATTAAGGTCACTAATTAGTAAGGAACTCCCCTCACCTGGTTGTTTAGATCTTAATTGAAAGGAAAAACCAAAAACCAGCAGACACTAGGCCCTCTATGGAATGAGTTTGACAACCCTGCCCTATAGCATCACTTTTAAGAACCTTATTTAGTTCAAACTTGCACCTTTATTTTTAAGAGTGTATGAGATATAAATACATCTTGATATAGATGTGGCTGAGAAGATAAACTTGTTTCATCCAACACATTTATTTGATAAATATATAAAATATTGTAAATACAGTGGGGGAAAAAAGTATTTAGTCAGCCACCAATTGTGCAAGTTCTCCCACTTAAAAAGATGAGAGAGGCCTGTAATTTTCATCATAGGGACACGTCAACTATGACAGACAAAAAGAGATTTTTTTTCTCCAGAAAATCACATTGTAGGATTTTTAATGAATTTATTTGCAAATTATGGTGGAAAATAAGTATTTGGTCAATAACAAAAGTTTCTCAATACTTTGTTATATACCCTTTGTTGGCAATGACACAGGTCAAACGTTTTCTGTAAGTCTTCACAAGGTTTTCACACACTGTTGCTGGTATTTTGGCCCATTCCTCCATGCAGATCTCCTCTAGAGCAGTGATGTTTTGGGGCTGTCGCTGGGCAACACGGACTTTCAACTCCCTCCAAAGATTTTCTATGGGGTTGAGATCTGGAGACTGGCTAGGCCACTCCAGGACCTTGAAATGCTTCTTACGAAGCCACTCCTTCGTTGCCCGGGCGGTGTGTTTGGGATCATTGTCATGCTGAAAGACCCAGCCACGTTTTCACTCAAAATCTCACGATACATGGCCCCATTCATTCTTTCCTTTACACGGATCAGTCGTCCTGGTCCCTTTGCAGAAAAACAGCCCTAAAGCATGATGTTTCCACCCCCATGCTTCACAGTAGGTATGGTGTTCTTTGGATGCAACTCAGCATTCTTTGTCCTCCAAACACGACCAGTTGAGTTTTTACCAAAAAGTTATATTTTGGTTTCATCTGACCATATGACATTCTCCCAATCCTCTTCTGGATCATCCAAATGCACTCTAGCAAACTTCAGACGGGCCTGGACATGTACTAGCTTAAGCAGGGGGACACGTCTGGCACTGCAGGATTTGAGTCCCTGGCGGCGTAGTGTGTTACTGATGGTAGGCTTTGTTACTTTGGTCCCAGCTCTCTGCAGGTCATTCACTAGGTCCCCCCGTGTGGTTCTGGGATTTTTGCTCACCGTTCTTGTGATCATTTTGACCCCACGGGGTGAGATCTTGCGTGGAGCCCCAGATCGAGGGAGATTATCAGTGGTCTTGTATGTCTTCCATTTCCTAATAATTGCTCCCACAGTTGATTTATTCAAACCAAGCTGCTTACCTATTGCAGATTCAGTCTTCCCAGCCTGGTGCAGGTCTACAATTTTGTTTCTGGTGTCCTTTGACAGCTCTTTGGTCTTGGCCATAGTGGAGTTTGGAGTGTGACTGTTTGAGGTTGTGGACAGGTGTCTTTTATACTGATAACAAGTTCAAACAGGTGCCATTAATACAGGTAACGAGTGGAGGACAGAGGAGCCTCTTAAAGAAGAAGTTACAGGTCTGTGAGAGCCAGAAATCTTGCTTGTTTGTAGGTGACCAAATACTTATTTTCCACCATAATTTGCAAATACATTCATTAAAAATCCTACAATGTGATTTTCTGGATTATTTTTTCTCAATTTGTCTGTCATAGTTGACGTGTACCTATGATGAAAATTACAGGCCTCTCTCATCTTTTTAAGTGGGAGAACTTGCACAATTGGTGGCTGACTAAATACTTTTTTCCCCCACTGTATCTAAGGGGTAAAATAATAGCTAGAATGCACACACCTTTTTAGAGCGTAATCTAACACACACAGAGGTATCCATCTAGAGGAGATAAGTGTATGTACAGTCAATAGATCTTCTCTCTTGTTGCCATAAACCTCAGTGTTTTACTCTTCCTGTCATTACATCTCCTAATGTCCTCAGCTTCACTGGACAAACTCCAAATGTCTATTTACAATCGGCAACATGGTGGGACGGAGAGAGACAGTGTGAGAGAAATTTTTAAACAAACATTTGACCCCTAAATAATATATATTTTAAAATGTCTTCATCTTATTAAACTGGGAAAATCTATAGTAACAAATCTAGGCCAAGGCTAAGCCAACTACTGCTGCCTGCAATGTTGAATCACCCCAGAATGCCTGACTAATTATTCTGATGTTGCAGGCAGCTAATAACTTCTTGTAATCAATTTAATTCAGCACTTAATCAGATCTACGAGGAGCCTAATGAATAATTCAGCGTTGTCCTCTGACAACCTCCTTGGGTCAAAGACAAACACTTATCTGACAGGCAGCTAGCTGTGTCACACAACTGCCACACTGTCGCGCCATGCGGCACACCTCAGCATAACAGCATCTGAACTTAATAGGTGCCTGCCCTACTCTTGTTTTTAGAGTCTGGACAATTATACTATAGGCTACTGCAGTGCAATATACAGTAAATGATCTCTAGAAGTGGTTTCAACACTATGGGCTTGTGTGGAACACTGTTGTGTAAATCTGTTCTTTGATTGTTGGTGTAAGTTGGCTGTAAAAAGAAAAACATTAGGCCTACATAGCTAACCAAGATGGAATTGGCCTGTCTGATCTACTTTT